ATTGTCGTACGTGAGCTTACCCAGAAACCGACCTCGGAGACTCTTAGGTATAGTACTGTCGTATAAGAAGCGATACAGGGTGAGGACGTGGGAGAGGGGTGGCGGGCAGCGGCTCCATCTGGATTTTGCACGGCTGATCATCGGTAACCATCGGAGGACCTGGAACGTGGGGTTGAAGAACCAGAGCGTGTTGGGGTTCTTGTCTTCCACGGAGCAGGCGAGGGATGTTTTTTGCTGTTGCAGTGTCGCGGCCAGCTTCTCGGGTCCAGGCGGTAAGGACGCCTGCGTCTCGACAAATTGGACGCATGCCTCGCCGTGGCCTTCAAACGAGGCCGGGTGCCTCAAGGTCGCGGGCAGGCTGGCAACATCGACGCCAGCCTGAAACAACCACTTTGCACTGGCGGAGACAAGCTCAGTCGGATCAATCCCAGAAGAAAGAGTCGTACGTGCATTCACCTGCGGTCTGTACATGTCCGCACCACGGGCTGCTTGGTGTAGCCCGTCTATATCCACAGAATCCAAGAGTGAAATATCCATATCCTTCAAGAAGCTGCCCCGGTTCACAAACTGCTTTTTGAACGTCTTTTCAGGCTTGACCATGAGACGGGTGGCTTTCCGAAAATACTGAAACCAGGCGGGCCGAAACGGTCGAACATGTTGACGTACCTCGCGGAGCCATTGTCGAGCAGGTGCAAGCTGCGAAGCAGTGCTGACTGTAACTACCAAGGGGCCTGGAGGTGGGAGGCGTAGTGCATGTAGGTATGTACGTATGGTGCCTTGGGCCCGTATGCGGTCATGAAAATGTGGTAGGAGCGTGCACATGTGCCAGAACACGTGCGCATGTTCGCTGGTCGTGTCGTAGTGTTTACACGCAGTGGCCCATGATATCTGCTTAGGACGTGCGGCCACCCAGCGAACCAGCAGGAGCCCATGTCCACGGCTATATATGCTAAGAGGCCCTTCCTCAATACCATTGACTTGAGCCCGAGAGCGGAACAGGTCGTGGGCTTCCCCAAAACTTTTCCCCAGAGTCCTTCGCCAAGACTTCCGAAGAACGAGGTACCTCTGGTGTCCCACGAACCTTTGGCAGAGCCGATCGAGCTGCGCTTGGGCAAACAGATCGCGGTGTTCGAGCATCTCGGGTGGGGTCTCAAGGGGTCGTCGTCGGGAGGCCCGTCCGCGTCGTCGTCGTGGTCTGGAAGGGTTTAGGGGTTCACCTTCAGCAGGCCGACAACCACGGCCTCGAGGGACACGCGCTGAAATTACAAGGTTGTTGGCTCGTGGACGGCAGAACGCAATGCGGGCGGGCACTCTCCACACTGTGTGCCCGCGCAGTGGGCATAGTATCTATTACCAGAAAAATCAACCGCTTTCCACAACCTCGGGGTAGGCAACGGTACCGATGGGGATCAGGATGTGGATGGCCAACCCTGGCACACTGGAGGCCCCTTAGGTGTTCCCGTAGACGGCTGAGGACCCCCGATCGCATAGACGAAGTTCGTGATACAAGACCCTGTCCAATATATAGGCTTACACTCCCAAGCTGGTAGAAGATGCTCATATCTCGGTTGGTCTTATCACTGGCCCTGAAGCATACACGTAACTGCATGTCAAGAAAAGTGAAGATCTCCAACGACTGAACGAAATTTGCAACACCACGTCGTGAGAGGGCTGCCTCCATTGAGGGTGTAACGGGTTGTGTAATCTGTTGCCCCCTCCGCTGCAAACGTCTCCCCGACGTCCACAGCTGTCGTATCCGTAGGATACTCAGACATTGTGACAACGTACAGCTGAGCCATGAAAGGCGTGCCCAACGCATAGGTTGGGTTGCTAAGAATGTTAACCATGTCCTGCTGGTAAGTCTTCAAAGCTTCTACCATGAGCGGGGGCACTGTCGGGGTGAGGACGTGCCAAAGGGAGCCGACGCACAACTGTGATAGATGAAGTGGCGCGTTAAGGGTACTCGCACATGTCTGCCCCGACGGAAAATCTTCACACCAGCTTCCTAGAAGTCGGATCCGTCGTCGTAAGGGTTGATTGAGAACACGGCCAGGGGCATCATCAGCCCCGAGAGGGGTGTATGATTCCAGAAATCTTTTTAACGTCTGGTCACTGTGCTTCTGAATATTTGCCGATGAAGTCTGAAAACAAAGGCAGAGAGTCAATGCAATCAGAGAACGTCGATATGTACCGTAGCCAGGGCAACGAACTTCGTCCTTTTGTTTATGGGGAGTTCTGTTTGCCGTGCACCTCTGGGGGTAACAGGTAGGGCTCGGGATGAGGTGCACGAAACGTTGGTCGGCCATCCGTCGACAGCACAACAAATCGCACACGCAAGCCTGGCCAGACGTGCACAAAGGGTAGAGAGTGAGCGGAGAATATAGGACGTGTATCCTCATCTGCAAAACCCACATATTCTGACAGTGAAGTAAATAACCATGAACATCACAAGAGTTACGAGCAACATAAGCTTCACAGGCATGAGCTGATACGTATATCGTGGCTGCGGTGCAAAATCCCAAGTCGAAGATTTCTTCACGCCGTCACGAACACACTCTGAAATGCTATATGCTGGATCCGTGAACTTCAGCGCGTGGCCCAAGACGTCCCCCGAGACACCGTTGATCCCCGCGGGGGTGTGGTGAGCGAAGCTCCTGAGTATCTGAATACACGTACTGACAATCATAATCAAACAAGTTTTTCTCCAGGAGAAGCTCTCATCTCATGGAAAGCAAACTGTTCAGACCCACATGTGTGCGCCCGCTCGTGGCGGGCTTGAGCGCTAGCCTAAACCTGAACAGCTGGTGGCGGCGGTGCTGGGGTCGGCGCGGGCAAGGGTCGCACGGCGCAGACTGCAGGGGTGAGCTGAACAAAAACATGCACGATGAAAGCACTAAGAACACACACGCACACACACACGCACACACACCCACGCACGCACGCACACATGCACACACACACACACACGCACGCACACACACACACGCGCAACCACACACACACGCACACACACACACACGCACGCGCACGCGCACGCGCACGCGCACGCGCACGCGCACGCGCACGCGCACGCGCACGCGCACGCGCACGCGCACGCGCACGCGCACGCGCACGCGCACGCGCACGCGCACGCGCACGCGCACGCGCACGCGCACGCGCACGCGCGCACGCGCGCACGCGCGCACACGCGCACGCGCACGCGCGCACGCGCGCACGCGCGCGCGCGCGCGCGCGCACGCGCACGCGCGCGCACACGCACACGCACACGCACACGCACACGCACACGCACGCACACGCAACACACGCGCACACGCACACGCACACGCACGCGCACGCGCACGCGCACGCGCACGCGCACGCGCACGCACGCGCACGCGCACGCGCACGCGCGCGCGCACGCGCACGCGCACGCGCACGCGCACGCGCACGCGCACGCGCACGCGCGCGCGCACGCGCACGCGCACGCGCGCACGCGCACGCGCACGCACGCACGCACGCGCGCACGCACGCACACGCACACGCACACGCACGCACACGCACACGCACACGCACACGCACACGCACACGCACACGCACACGCACACGCACACGCACACGCACACGCGCGCGCGCGCTCACACACACGCACGCACGCACGCACACGCACACGCACACGCACACACGCACACACGCACACACACGCACACACACACACACACACACGCACACACACACATTCACACACAACACCCGTGTTGCCAAACCCTGTGTTTTTTGTATGTCTTTTGGGCACTCGATTTTGGAACCCTTCCGAAAGCGAAGGTGTTTGAAGGATTTCGGCATGCGCGCGCGACGACGCGCGCGCGTGCACCTCGTTCAGTTTTCTGTGCAAGGGTTCTCGCGACGGCGCCCGCGCAAGTAGTTTTTTTTTTTTTTTTTTTTTTTTTTTTTTTTTTTTTTTTCCTTTTCTTTTGTTTTTTTGCCTTCCCCCTAAAAAACGAATTCGCAAGAGCGCACGCGTACGTTTTATTAGAACATCTGTATTGCGAAACCCTGTGAGTTTATATGTTTTTTGGACATTCGATTTTGTCATCCTTCCGAAACCAGCGGTTTTTGAAGGATTTCGGCATGCGCTCGCGACTACGCGCGCGTCTGCACTTTCCCATTTTTTTTGCAAGGGATTCTTGAAAACTTTTGATTTTTGATAAACGAGTGTGCGCGCATATTTTTTGCAGGGGATGGCGGGGGGGGGCCGTACCTGCCTAGCTGGGATAGTATGGTTGCACAGGTAGGATGGACATTGAGTCAATATCATATGTAAAATGCCTTGCGAAGAGGTGAATCTTCAACCCCGGGGGGGGAGGGTGGTAGAAACGTTTTTTTTTTTTTTTTTTTTTTTTTTTTTTTTTTTTTGAACAGAGAACCTATGCGACGGCGACGGCGGCGACGGGCGGCACCGCCCGCAAAAGCCGCCACTCGCACCCGAGCGGCGGCGACCGCGACGCCGACTGCGACGGCGGCGACGGGCGGCACTGCCTGCACAAGCCGCCACTCAGCCCGAGATGGTTAAGCCAAGTAAGACCTCTAGGCGCAAGCATTTGTTAAGGAATAGTTGAGGTTTGAGCCCCTTGGCTGGTCCCTCGAACTTCCTTTTCTGTGCCGCTCATGAGGGGGGGGCAGCTGCCAGCGGACAGTTCCCTCGGCCTGTCTGTACGTCTGTCCGTCAATATGTCGATTTGTCAGTTGGCGTGTCTCTGCATATATTTGTCGAGTTTTGTGCCATGAGCGGTCCTACTGTCGTCGCAATTGTGGTGCCTTGAAACTATTACCTCTCGTTCTGCGTCTTGTCTTCGGCTCACTCTCGCAATGCATCGTGCTGTTGCGTTTGTGTCGGGACCTCCCCATGCTACCTACATTCAGGTGACAGTTTCGTGAGATATTCATGGGCGTGGTGTTGTCAGGTCGTCATTCTTTGGTTGGTCACTTGCATTTAATTTTCCATGCATGTGCGTGCGGTGCAGGAGCAAAAGCAGTGGGAGGCAGGCACCCTGCGCGCGAAGTGGGGCGTCGGACAGGTTTCGATTCGACTGCCAATCAGAAGCCCGCTGCAGCTTATTGCAATTATCTACGGTTCCTCCGGTTCGCGTCCCTCTGATGTATTGACTAATTCCTTGACCTTTGTGTGGCACTCCCAGGGAGGTCTCTTGCGTAGCCTTGCGACTAATTTGTTGGCAGAACGTGTGCGCACAGCGTGCAAGCGTGTTGAAACTTGAAAGGTCGATGCAATCTCACTTTGCATGATGAAGCTTGCATTTAATGCCCCTTTCCATTGCGTTCGTTCTGGTTTATTTCTCGTGCTCATTCGACAATCAGGTGATAGCTCTGAAATATGAAGTGTTTTTCAGGCCTGCAGAGCCCAGATCACATATGTTTGCCGCCAGCGCTGCCCTTTGACGGCTGTCAGTCGTGTTTCGGTGACGAAGAAGCCATGTTACCGATTCGGGCGTATCCGTGAGTCACTGAGTGGTTGGATGATGGTTGAGGATTGCGTTGGTGACAATGATGATGCTGATGACAAAGTTGGAACACAGGCATAACACATGGCGGAGATGAAGAGCAGTAGAAAGAAGACATTGAAAGGGCTCTCTGTGCCAGGAGTTGGCACAGCATTCCATGGCTCTTGATATTTCGCGCTTCAAAGGTTATCTGCCGTTCATCATTCCTATATGGTGGTTCATCTGGGTCGTCGCCACATGGACCAAGTGTGGCAGTCCGAGATTCTACCCCGCCTTCGGCAACGCGGCTTCCTAAATCAATCAGCGATCATCGCAATTTCAGCTGTCAGGGTGCTGAACTTAACTGCTGTGCACATTGGCGGATACATGTAAATATCGAAGACGTCTACTGCGAGTCACCGCCGCCCCCTGCCCTTTCGGAAGTGCGTACGTGGCCGAACCTTTGAGGCCAGAACCCTGCCAAGCTATCGGACCGTGTGTTCCCCGAATCGGTTTGGAAAGCCTTCGGGGAACACGTGGGGGAGGACGGGGAAGAGGAGGAGGTCGTTTGCGGTCCTTTCCTGGTGGCCGGCGGGACGGGCCGAAACCCCAGAGGAGTTCTTTTTGAATTACCCTGGCGACGTACCCAACCCATGCGCAATGCGGGGCATGAGTAGATTGGGAGACGTTATACAGAGGTGATGACGTGACATGGGCGCATATACTTCTGCAAGCGGCATTCATGATGCTCGCAGCCCCCCAAGGATTGCGAGCTCCCGCTCAGATCTGCGTGGTGCCTCACTCCGCTGGACCCGCCACCTGCCTTCGAAAGTAGCGACGGTTTCGCAGATCGCAGCCCCCAAAGGGCGGCGAGGTCCCACTCAGATCTGCGCGGTGCCTCACTCCGCTGGAGTGCCCTCGTGGCGGCCCAGGACAAGAGTCTCTCCCACAGCTCGACGGGGCTGTGGGAGAGACTCTTGCCCTGTGGTTGGCCAGCCACAGTAGGTGCGGGCCCGCCGTACCACCCCTGAGAGGCCCGACGGGGTTACTCGAAGGGGTCCCCCGACGTGGGGGGCGCGGGAACTTAAGTCCTTGGGCAGCGGGGCCTCCGCTGCTGGAGGCCGGCGGCCAAGTGGGGGTGGTGCCGGTGGCCGTGTCTCGGGGTGGCATCTCGAGGCACCTCGCAAGGGCGGCGCGGATAACGCCGGGGGCGGTCCGTGCCGCCGTTCGTGTTGCGAGGTCCGAATGCATGTGAATTCATGCAGGCACCTTGGGCACCGTCCTTCGGGTTGTGTCGCCCAGGTGTGTCCGGGCAAAAAAAAACCCTCACTCCGCTGGAGCCACCAGCAGCCCTAGAAAGTGGCGACAATTTCGCAGATCGCAGAACGGCAGAGACGCGGACATGTGTAAAAGACCGTTGGAAGTTCAACACATGTTGTTTCGCACCACCATCCTGTTGCCTTTGCCATCATTGCTGTTGTACTCATTGTCTGCCTGCAGCCATTCAGACTCGAGGGGTATAGGAAAAGGAGCGAGCTGGCCCGCGCGCGCGTCGGCCAGCAGGCCGGCCTCCTCACTACATACATGTATCTCCTGTTCGCTTAAGGGAACAAGCACTTCTTCCTTGCAATGGCTTTGGCGGAGCCCCCTGAGCTTCCCCCGCGCGGGTTACCTTCAGGGGTAACCGAAATTACATCGGAATGCAGGAATTACCGATATCAGGCAAAAAGCTGGTTATCAGCCGAAACGACGGCTCAGCCGTTGGCTCCGCTGGGCATGGGATCGCAGGAAGGAACGCCCGGATACATAGAACGACGAAGCTGTCCCGAACGTATTACCAAGGAAGGCGCCCCGAGGGGGTGGCCTCCTTCTCTCGATCTTCCCAGAAGATAAGCATCGGAATCTGCGTTTGATATGACAGAAGGGGATTCTCCTATAGATCACCAGATGAAGGAAAGCGTTCAAACGCCAGGCAGAGGGCATGGCTTAGCCAGTGCTCCCAACGGAAGGCCATTTGAAATCATTTCAGTGCAGTCAAGCCCGAGGATATCAATCAATACGAACTGAGGTGAGGAGAGCCCGCCCAGAAACGTTCCCATCGGCTCAGCGGGAGGAGAGCGTTATCGCGAGGAACAAATAACACAATTTGTGATGAATGGGCTGGGCGGGGAAGAAAGCGATGGACAGTCAGAGGAAGAGAGCGTGCGTTCAATTGAAAAGAACGAAGAATATGTTCGATTCCATGCGTCGCCTTGGCCGTCGTTCCATCCCAATCCTCTTCGCAACTCGCCTGACGTGCTTGCCTCAGGCATGGATCTATCTGATACCGAAACAATTGATTACGCGCTGGCTGAGGCCTTTCGAAGGGCTATCCTTTATTCGGACGAAGATCCCGAGGGCGAAAGAAACTTCGATAGCGGGAGACTAGGCCGTGGAAGAGAGACCTCTTCGGCTCAGCTGATAGAGAACTCGCCCGACGCCGCGCGCCGAGCTCGGCGCGCGAGTGAACCGACTGGTGCGACTCCACTGCCGAAGACAAATAAGACTGAGAGTGCAACATGCGATCTTAATCCCCCACCTTTTGTCGACTGGTTTCCATCGACAAAGTTTCGCGCCACCGAGGATGGGTCGCGATCGCGTGCTAGAACTTGGTGAACTCATCGTGCAAGACGGAAAGGATGAGCAAATGGAGAAGCAACATGACGCTCAAAGGAACATGGGGTCCATAATGAGGGGGCAGAATGCGCCGACGTCCAGCAGCGGTCGGGGAAAGGCACCAGGAGCCGGGCGCTCCAGCTCCTGGGGATTTGATGCCCTTGAGTCACCTCGTCCGTCGTCAAATCGGACCATGGGCAGTTCTTCTTTCCGGGGCGTCTGCTGGAAGGCGGGCCCTGGATGCCCGCCTCAGGCGGAGAATCGTTGCCTAGGAAAAGCGCGCGAGCCAGGGGGGTCTTGCGGCCGGCCCGCATGTGCGCATTGCTCGCGAGTGTGTCCGACATTTAGTTTATCTTGTCTCTGCGAAGAGCAAAACCTGCGTCGCGTCACCATTCGGGGGTGGGGGGGGAGACAGGGGCAAGATAGAAAGCGGCTGCGGGCAGCAAGTGCACAGATGCAACAGGTTCTCTTTCAGGCGCATGCGGACAAAGCGGCCGTCGAGGAAGCGAGCCGCGCGCTCGCCGAATCCGAAGCAGAAAAGAGGGCAATGGCAGATGGAGTTGACGGGAAATGGCTGCCATTGTAAAAGATACGCAAAACCGCATATTGCAAGCAGAAGCAGAAATCGCAGGGGTCGCGAGCGTGGCTCAGCGGCGTCTCGCGCAAGAAGAGGAAGGACACCGAAGGATGGAGGGGGCGACCGAACAATTGATTTCGTCGTCGCAGCTACCGGCCGATGCTGGGCGCGCTGAATCTTGAGTGGCAGCTGGTTCGGCCGGGCGGGGGGGGGAGAGTGGCCCGAGATCGGGCAGCGCGAGATACCCAGGAGTTCCGTGATCAAAGCGATGCCGCTAGGCATGAGGCCGACAAGTAAGATTAGAAGCGGCGCGTGCGCTCCAGGAGCGGTGTCGGACGGCCCAGGCCATAAGGCACAATGGCCAGAGAAGAATGATAGAGGCCTGGAACCGCGCGAAGGGGCGGGTGGATGGGCAGACCAAGAACGGTGCGTTCATCGCCAAGAGCGACGTTAGACTGCGAGGGAGTCTCTAGAGAAAGCCAGATGATCAGGCAGCCTGGCGTGGCGGCCGCGCCGGCGGTTCGGTTGGCACCTCCGGCCCCGCCGGGAAGTTCTGGGTCGGGGGGGGGGGGGGAGGGGCGGGCTCGGCGCCAGCTCGGCCGACGTGTGTCGAGCCTCCCCCGAGCCTAATTGGTGCTCGCCCCGTCCGAGCAACGGCGGCTGGGCCGACGCGAACTCGGACGGGCGCGCCAGGTGCGTCGTGTCAGATGTGCTCAGAGCCCGTCATCGGGGGTTGCAGGGGGCGCGCGACACTCGCGTGCAGGGGGCGCCTGGGCGAAGGTGCCGAGAGATGCTCAGAATGCACCAGAAGCAAGGGGTCAAGAGAACCAGGCGATAAAAGGCATAACAACAACGAAGCGATGAAAACGACAGAACAGGTAGATGAGATGGCGCTGAGACCCTCGGAAAGATCGGGGAGATCATTCGAAGACGCGAGCTGCAAATGCGAGATCTGAAAGATCACGGGGCAGCGTCGGCCGCCATTGGGCGAGAAATATCTGCCGCCAAAGCAGACCAGGACACGTTGCAGAAGACAGAAGAGCGTGCCTTACAAAAGGAAGCCGGGTTGGAACAACAGGTTCGCAGCTTGGCCCCTGTCGTGGGCGCACCGTCGTTTCGGTCAGTAGAGTCGGACTTTGACCGGGTGCCACCGTTTACAGCGCAGCGCGTATTTAGGCTTCCTCTCCCGAATTCACGATTCATTCCAGGGCCGGCTTTAGAGACATCCTTTGGCCCAAATGAAGGTTCAGCCAGGGAGAATGTTCAATGATCGAATCCTGATAACGTCCCATGTAGCGCCAAGTTTTCAGGGCCCCCCGACGCCTGCGACCTGCCTGGCCACTTGCCCTTCGCCAGCGGCTCAGCCGTGTCTGGTGGCGGTGGGGGCGGACCTGCAGGCGGCGATGGTGATCGGAGGGGCGACCAGAGCGCTGCGCCCAGCGCCTGGATGATCGCGGCGCTGCAGTTCGATGAGATGGGAAAGTCCAGGCCGCCAGGCGACCCTCCGGGGGGGCCTGGTGATGGTGGAGACCCGGGCGGAGACAGCGGTGGAGGGCCTGGCGGCCCTAGCGACCCCGCGCCGCAACCGTGCATTGCCGACCCAGTGGGCCCCGACTGGAGAAGTTTCGGAAATGCCAGGGAACTTAACTTCGTGGACATTCCCAGCGCCCAGGCCCTACGAGAATGGAAACAGCGCCGTGTGAGGGCGGTGGCTGGATCCTGGCGCGATGTCAAGGTGGCACAACTGGGGATCATGGAAGCTATGGACCCATAGGTTCCTGAATGGCGTCTCCTGACAGCCGGAGTCCTCATGCGCCTCGACACGATGATAACATCGGACCTGCTTGAGACATTTGCCAACATGAAACGTAGTCGCGATCTCTCGGTGCAGCATTTATTCCTCGCAATGTAACCGCGTGGAACATTCGCGTCAGACAGATCGACGCCTTTTACGGGTCGCGAGATGATCCGTGCCATGTGTGTCTGGTGCTCGGTCAGATCCGAAAGCGGTCGGCACTGGAATTGCCGTGATCTTCAAGATCGCAACTGACCGCCAGAAGCCCAACC